CATATACTTGCATGATGATAATACGCCATTAAACAGAGTGAAGCATAGTTTAGACTGTAATAACAGCTGGACTCTAAAGTGTCTCCAGTCACCGGATAAAAGTCACACAACCCTCCATCCCTCACTCCATTTATTCATCCAGCCTTTGTTCCTCCCTGCCACAAGATTCACTTCATTGTCCCTCCCTCCTACCTCTCAGGGAGCAGTGTTGTCTGTAGGTTTCTCTGATGGCCTCCAGCTGAGAATATCTCTCCACCAGTACCTCCTTCTCTGACTCTAGACGAGGCTTCATGTCCAGGTTTTGCTCCGCCAGGCTGCGATTTGATGCCAATGCCATCTCTCTCTCCAGCTGAATGTTCTGGATCTAGGGGAAGCAAACCAAGCATCAGACTATGGCAGCTTTACATTTTAGCCATTTTGTGGATACCACTAAATGTACAGGGATTATTATTACATTTTTTGTAGTACAAATATTCTGTGAGGTGTACAGCTGGGTCAGTATCACAGAGTATTACAAACTACAAAGCTGACACCAGAGGGCTGTACTTCAAAGCGAGTTCAACATACCCACGGTATCTTTTTGTTATCTCGTACGACAATTTGACCGCATTGTTTCAGCTGCAACACCGGTGGTGTGAAACAGACTTATTGAAAAAAAACTAAAAACATAATTCAAAGTGGTACCACCGCATACATGAAAAATAGCTGTGGCAAAGAAACACAAGGCAATACATACAGTTTGTTGGACTGTAAGCAAACAGCTCAAAAAAGTGAATGTATAATATGAATATATGCTGTATTTTCCATAAGAGAAAATATGCTGATTCTGTGTTATTGTAGTTCAGTATGGCTTTGTAGCACAAAGGCAGTAAAACTGCATGTGCCAAAGCACACTGTATATAATCCATCGGGCTTAATCATGATAACCGGTGGAGATTGGTTTCACATTAGAAATGAATGTTAGAAAAGATGGAACCATGTTGACAGTCTGCACCCACCTCAAGAACTGGGTAGTCGTATAAAGAAAAGAATTTTTGTTCTGCTCATCTGTTCCGAAACAACACACTGGTAAATGGTAAATGGACTTGCATTCACTTAGCGCCTTCCTAGTCTTCCAACCACTCAAAGCGCTTTACGCTACATGTCAACATTCACACACCGATGGCACGGCCTTCTGGAGCAATTTGGGGTGAAGAATCTTTCCCACGGACATGCTGACTGGAGGAGCCGGGGAGCAAACCACCGATCCTCAGAGTGGAGGATAACCCTCTCTACCTCTGTGCCACAGCCGTCCCACTACGGCGCTCTTTCTGGACTGGAAAAAGCAGCGCAAAGTGATGCATTTTGTGTTTGTTTTGTTGAGGCACTCTGGGTAAAGGCGCCCAAGGCTTCAGGTTTTCTTCTCGGCTTCGCAACAGCTGTTTGCTGTCACCGCAGCGGCTCTCTTGTGCAGTCGCTCCACAGAGGGACTCCACTACTCAACCCAGTCGGATGTTTTTCCCCCCAACAGGCAATGATTGTTCTTTTGCATTTCAACTTGCATGTTGTTTACATTGATCGTCATTTCAACTATGAAGCAAACAAGCCTGCCTGCCTGCCTGCCTGTCTGTCTGTTTTCACGTGGCGCTCTGTACTTCAGCCCCAGGGCTGTGCAACAGACACGGGCGGAGCAGAGCGAAGTCAGTAACGACGCTCGATGACTTCACTGAAATAATGATTATTTTTTTATTTTACATTATCGGGCAACTGGCTGCATTTTACTGGCCTACCGTAGGCGTGCGTGTCATTTTGTCAGGTTTCAGTGTTACAGTAGGGGAGACTGGGGGGGAACTGCATCAAGGAGCAGCTATAACATCTCAAATTGCAACAATCAGAACTAAAAATTAAGAGATTATTATTGAACAATATAATTTAATAACAGCAACCACATTAAACTGGATGGAATAAATGTACAGGTTCCATAAACCTTGTGAAGTGAATTTCAAGTATGAATAAATATATTTTCCAATCACAGGCTTGCTTTCAGATTACAGCTGGTGCGTGTTTAGTGTGTTCAGTAACTTACTTGCATGCAAATGTATCTGCTCTGTGTTGGCAGCACCTTTTTCCACACATGCTTTTATGCAAATCCAGAGAAAGTGAAGTTTAGCCGACTTTGTTTCAGCAGCAAAATACATAACCACCTAAATCTGAGCCAATGACACACACTTGTAGCCTATGTTCAATGTACACAGAAGGTTAGCCTGTGTTCTGTCCAGTCGCATAACCACACTGGTGCGACTGGAACCTGGGGTGCTTGTTTTAATATAATAGGGTATAAGTGTTATATTACCAATAGCGAATTGACAAAAAACACGAAACCTGAAAGGCAGAGTTTAAGCGAGCAGTGTGATGGGCATATACAGAGTTGTGGGAAGGACTACCAGGGCTAAACATTCACATTAATGGGAGCTTCCTAGTACTATAGGTTTTTGTCAAATTTGACCAGCAACATTGCTTTAGTTCTCTTCTGTGGCTACCAAAGAAGGAACGAATGACTCACTAACCCCACCCAGACTGTCCACTAAACTAGAAACAAGGCATATCATTCATTAGCATTAGGGTGGTTTGTGTCACACACCCACACTGAGAAGGTCAACTAACCAAACACCCTACAAGGATTAATAACTTTAAAATCTAATTCCTAATGTCTCACAAAACACTTGTCATTTTAGAGTTCAGCCTCTCGAAAAGCTGAAACTGCATTGAAAGAATGAAGGCCAAATGGAAAGTGAATCATAATTTGTACCTCGTCAGACTCCAGAGCCATAGACTCCACCCTCTCTGGGTTGTCGAGGAGCTCCTGGAGCTCTGATTGGCTCAGGTCCTGGAGCTTCTCCATTTGATTTGCCAGGATGGCTGTCTGTCATAAAGGAACCAGGAAATAAGAGTTAAAAACAATGTTTGGAAACATAAAGTGGACAGTCAGAGAGGCCCAGCCTCTAAATCTTAATACTACCACAGTTGAGTAGATAATTAATAGCCATGGACTTATTGTTAACAAATCTAGGCAAAACAAACCATGTTACATGCAGCCACTCCCTTAATAAAATAGCAACCAGTGGTAGGTGACAAATGTGGGCATTTTTTGTTAATAGTAGCGATGGTAACATTTGGAGTGCACTATTTTGTACACAGTTGACTTAACGATAGTGTTATAGTTAGCGTTAAAGAGGCATACTACAGTCATCCTCTCGAGTTAAGTGACTGCAGGCCACAAAACAGAACAAGCTGTTCAAACGAGCACTGGTAACAGCGAAGCAACACACCGGGTAAAAATAAACTGGTACTTACACGACGCTAGCAAACCAAGTTGAGCCCGACACTGACTGGTGGTGACATCCAACACCAACTATTTATCTCAAGTGACAGGTGACGTGACACGTCCTCGGGATCTCCGACCAGCCCCGACGGAATCCAGCTGAACGAAAAGCTGCCGAGTCGTCTTCGACGCACTTTGACCGCTGAGCTAACTAGCTACTCGGCCAAGTCCAATCTCACCGGACAGTTCCGCGTTGAACGATATGATGGCAACAACAGTCTGTATGATCGCAATGTCAGGCATCTAGCCACCGTCAACTTCAAGGAAAGCCCAGCGATTTTGCGATGAAAAACGGGGCCCAGAATGCCGCCACTCGGTCCTGACGACCACTATCAAACGCCTCTGTGTTCCGGCAATGCTAACCTTAATAATCATACGACTTTAGTCGACAAAATGTGTTGGAAAATGACATAATCTTCACTAAAATAGGAAAGTTTCACTCCACGCTGACAGAAACCGCAGCCATCTTGGGAACTATCCACGTTCCGTGGTTTGCGGGGGTGTTCGGACAAAATTAAAATATTCTAAAACGGCACAGTTGAACTGTAACGAACTCTTGATTCATATTAATACATATTTTAAATACATAGTATTTGCCGACGTATTTGTGGGCGATTAGATTTAACTGGGCCCATTGTCCCTCTGGTGTCCCCTATGTCGCAGGGTAATGGTCGGGTCCCGTGCTCAGCTGATACACGGGAAACCCCTATGTGACGGTAATGTCCCGTCTACTGCTGCCAGTGCTTCTGTCGATGGCTAAATATCCGTCACCCTGCTCTGCTGGAGGAGCTGCACACCACTGCATTTGCACATATTTACATACGACTTTCTGTTCTTCTAATTGGCACATACATCACTGAGTGAAAAGACTTGCGAGGAAAAGAGGCAGAGTCCAGAATGTTTTGCAATTGCAATGTGGCGTTTCACCATCTCAATGCGGCTCAACCTCATAGAGGAATTATTTTTCTCATGGAGGTGGAAAGTTTATGACCACCAGCCACATGATCAGATGCCGTCTTGGACACAATGCATGCTGGATGTCAGGACATATCTGCAGAAGATCAGGCATGCAGAATCTTTCCTATGTGAATTGCAAGAGAAGACAGAAGATGTGTTGTGGATCGGAACAAATGCAGACAGTCTTGACAGTTGTATTTTTGTATTTGTGTCCTATACATGTCTGAATATGTATGGTTCTCTATTGCCTTGATGTGAGATTAGCTGCTGCATTGAGATCCATGTCGATAATGTGTATTGTATGCACCTTTAATATACTTTGGAGAAGCCAAAGAGGAGAGGTGTGCAATAAATTAAATCTAATCTAAAGAGAAGTGGCTGAGAAGTTTTGAAAAAGTGAACTCAGTATAAAGTGTGTTGCCAACTGTAAAAAAAAGCCATGGTTTTATGCAGAGTTTTTTTATTATTGTATATTCTCTAAATGCAGTTTTAGAGGATTTGACATAACAAGAATACTAATTTCGGTAAGAAGTCACAAATCTATTATTATAAGCCTTCAATCAGTGAAACTGTTTTAGATTATTATCCTGAAGGAATAAAAAAAATTCAATGAACAGCAACAATCAACAGTGAATTATTAGGAATTTAAAAATGACAATGTTTATGAGATGTAAATTAAAAGAAAAAGGAGTAACATAAAACACAAAGATAGACCACCCCAAGTGTAAGATTAAGACCCACAGCCAAAGAGCCAAATAAAGTACAGTAGGTAAGATAAGGTAAAGAAAAAGGGGAGGTGTACAAGTCTCTATTCATATTATATTAGACATTTAGCCTCTCAGTGGTCACAGGAATAAGAAAGGCTAGTGTGTTGCCTGTGTCTTTGTTCTGAGCATCCTGTATATCAACATACAGTAATAAGAACACTGCTTGACCTTTTTACAGACAACCTCAGTATTTGATCCACATGTGTGGCAGACTGTATTTTCAGTTTAATAGTTGCATGAAATTAAAGCAATCGTGTAAAAAGCGATCCTTAAGAATTCAGTGAAAACTTTTGAAGCTGCAGAATCAGAATCAGTTTATTGCCTAGTACGTTTGCACATACAAATAATTTGGATTGGTGATTGCATAAATGCAATTTAAGTCGTATACAGTTGCCAATGATGCATCAACAACTGATTAAAAATATCCTACCCTGGCCAGAGTAGAAGCTGCTCTTTAGTTGGCTGCCCACGCCCCGTCTTGGAAGCTTGTGACGGATCAGAGTATGGAATGACACCATTAGTCATATAAACAGTGTATTGCACGGCACCAGTTAACACCACTTGAATAAGACACATATTTTTCAGCAAAACCCGAGTAAAACCACTATAATGTTACTTATTACAGCATTCAGCCCTGCAGTAAATGCCATCTTTGTGAGGCGTAAGGCTTTGTGCAAGCTGTTTGTTATTTTGTCCCCCCCCCAACATACATGAAACACAGACACAAGCTACTGCTCAAAAATGATCATTGAGTTGACTAATACAGATGTTCATGTTAGTGCTCTCCGCTACATTTATTTTATTTAGGTTTGAATTGTTAGAAAAAAAAAGAAGAAAAAAACATAAAATATCTTTAAAGATATTAAAGTGAAGACAAAATGTACTGTGTACAGTAAGTGTCATCAAGGTAACCAATATAGACATCCAGTAAAAGGTTTTGGGTGATTTAAAGGTTAAAATACAGTGGATTTTAAATATTAGACACCTATGATGTTCTTGACTCAACAGCATCCAGTGGCTTTATTTCAGCTACTTTAATAAATGTAATAAAATGAAACACGTTCACTATATGCAGCCTATTTATACAACTACATTGTGTAACCTCACCACGATCCTGCTCACTTAGAAATATTAACATATAATCTCCAATATTTTAGGAATTATGTTCCATAGTTCCACAGCTGACATCAACTGTGTCACATCATTATAAAGCAGTGGCGGGCCGTGCATTTCATACCTGGGCCTTCACTGCTGTCTTACCACCTAATAACCTCATGATGGCGC